TGTGTGTGTGTGTGTGTGTGTGTGTGTGTGTGTGTGTGTGTGTGTGTTTCTTGTATGAAGAAAAAGCTGGTAACATTGTTCGGTACTTTCCCTGCATTAGCATGAAACGTAACAAGTATTCCCGACCTGTATGAAGTAGCACCCCATTTTGAAAATTTAAAAAATCCAAAAATTGTTCCAGGTACTATATACTCAAAATAAATATTTTTTTTACAAAGAATACGACACTTCTGTGTCATCGAATTTTTTTAAAAATTCAATGGCATTGATGTCCTATAAACCGTCGTACCTAACTTCACGAACTTCTGATCAATTTAAAATGTACGTATATTGAAACAGAGATCCTCCAACATACATACAGTGGGTGTAGAATGTATTCGTACAAACGATTACTTTCCCAAAAAAACTTTTATGTGAAATTGTAGTTTCTTAACTTCGTTTTCTATGATCAATGATATTTTACGTATTCTCGGAAGTCTCTAAAATAGATATAGTCCAAACAACATTTGCTACTTAATGTAATTTGTGGAGAGAAAAAAAAGAAAAGAAAAAAAAGCGAAAAGTGGGTAAAAGTATTCGTACGATTCTTATGACGAACCATTTACACTAGAATTCATAACATAAACACATTAGTTTATTGCTTCGTACGAATTAGGAAACATGAAATTTCCAGGAAAGTACCTTTAAACAGTTGTGCGAATACTTATTGTTTCTATATTTCTATCGATTAATTGTTTTTTTCTTGTTAATTTCGCAACTTACATAAATAGCTATTTTTTTTTTTTGTGATCTATCTATTCTAGAGACTTCCGAGTGTATGTAGAATGTCATTGTTTATCAAAAATAAGTTAATAAATTACAATTTTACATGGTTTTTTTGGAAATTGATCCACCCACTGTATAATATTATACGGAAAGAATTTTATAATCAATTTTCATGCGCTTTCAGACTAAGAACGCCTCGAAACGGCGAGAAACGCGAGAAGCCGGCAGTAAATAATATTTACCGATAACATAATTCTCGGTTGTATTCAACAACCGGGAATGTAAAAAGAAAGAACGAGACAAGGACTCGAATGTGTCAACAGCCGTCGATCGATAATGCTGACGCATACACGTTCCGTACGATCTAACGGTCCATTGATAAATCGTCGCGGAAGGTCAGATTAGACGGTTAAAAGACGGCGTTAAGAAAATCGACGAAATATAAATGTGAAAGGTGGAGCTTACGTTACTGGCTGGCCCTGTCTTCGTAGCGCAAAGATCGCAGATATCTCCCCAGAGATTGTTCGTGATCACCGTCGTCCCTTCGTCCGATCTTTACGTGCACAAAATACAAATCGCTAACACACGAGAGACCACGAGACATCCGCGAAAGGCCGAATGCAAAGCTTCCTCTCTTCGAGCGAGGAAATCGAGACATATATAACGGAGTACTTCTCTTTCCACTGTCACTGTGAACTTGTTACTCGAACCGTGACCGGTCGCAATTATACGGGATCGCCGATCGAAATGATTGCGTGCCCGGAGAATGGGATGACCGGCGCGGCGATAACGGTGAACTTTTTACGTTCAGCGCGAGCTAGCCATTGGGAAAACCACCCCCTGCACAACCGGCGCCCCAACAGCCATGTGCCGCCCTAAACCTCCGCCCATTGGCCCGAACGATACATTCTGCGACTCCCGGTTTTTCGGTGGAGCCTTTTAATTTCCACGTGAATCGGTGGCACGGACGCGTACACGGTTTTACAACGTAACGATCGGTCGGTCGTACGGTCTCTGTTACGTTATCATGAACGACAACTCTACACGAGCCATCCCTGCGGGAGCTCCGGCGAGAAGGGGGAATGGGAAAAGGCCGACTGACAAGACGTCACGTCTCCCGGGAGCGCTTCGATCTCTCTGAACTCACCATATCCACCGCACAGCTGCCCGCGTGTCTACGCATAACACTGTCTAACGCACTAGGGCCGACGGACAGCCCCTGATTTCCTCGTCGTTAAAGAGAAACGTGGAAAAATACCGTCGCCAAAATTGATTCCACGCACTTGTGCATCGACTTCACCCGCGAATCGAGAAAATGGCGTTGTTCACTCCCTCGCGCTCGCTCGCTCTAGCAATACCTCAAGCTACGCTGATTTCCATCGCCCCGGCACGAGCGCTCGGTTACACGTCGCGGACGAATCGACAACTAACGGCCGCGGGAGAATTTGAACGATGCTTTCGGTGCCTAATGACTCGACGCTGCGAATTTTACGCGTTTATGGTGTGTGGTAATGTACACGAACCCACAAACGATACAAAGTATGTTATATTTCGTACGTTAAACCCTTCCATAGCTGGTTACGGTACACCCTTCGTTAAATATACTTTTAATAAATTATTGCATTTTTCAGGTATTATAATTAAAATGTTGTCGACATCGAGGACAAAAATGTTTGCGATAAAGTTGCGAAGATACATACATGTCCCATAAAAAGAACTTCTAACAATGAGACATACATAACCCACTTTCAAAAAATCGTTATAAAATCTACCTGATTAATGCCCAGATAGCACAAGGACATCTTATGTACGTCCATATATGGACAACATCATGATGTTTCTATCTATTAAAGCTAAATTTTCCCAAAGCAAGTATTATTAGGAAATAAATTAATTATCTCTACTTGAATTTATGGAATTAAAATAAATATTGTTATAATTATTCTTAATACTTTACATATCGAATGTTCAAAAGTGTAGGCACTCAAAAAGTCGAACAAAAAGATATATAAAAAATATAAGAAACGTAAATTAGCATCCTGCGATGGCCAATTTTAAAAGCTTTAAAAGTCTTATCTATTAATTAGAGAGAATTGGAATATTTTCAATTTCTTAATCTATATTCGATATGTCAGTGTCGATTACGCATAGCTACGGCACTGACAAGCCAAAGTATTCAAACGGGAGATAGCTAATTGGCGGCAAAATACGACGCACATGTGCCAGACTGCTATTCTTACGTCCAGTTCAAATTGACAACCGTTTCGCTACTTTCATTGCATTGGTTTCCTTGTTATAAATGTCCACAGAATCTAATACTATGTAGAATATTCGTGCTACGTTAATACTTATTCGTTCAAATGCAAAAATAACATGTCAGACTGGCAATTCTCGATTGTCTTATTATTATTGTGTTTTATAACTTATCAAGATAAACATGAAAAATAATGAAATGAATGACTCCTTTCCTGAATCAAATATATATATATATATATATATATATATATATATATATATATATATATATATGTATATATAGTGGAGCAAATAATTTTTATGAATACTCAAAATGGCAAATCACTTTCTTCTAATTCGACGAGCCAAGTTTATTAATGAATTATTATTAAGTAAAAATTATTATCTTTTGGTAATTTTCAATTTTATTCCCATTTATATGTTGATATTTAAATTTATGTAAGCATGTAGGTGATGTATTTTCATGCCAGATTAAGGAGGGGCGCCACTTGTCGAGTCGTTCTGTAATATGATAAAATGGCGCTTTCTGCCAGTTTATCCGAATTATGTCGTAAGCCCACAAAATGATTTGATTTCCTTTATTTGAGTGATAGTCCTGTCGGACTGTTTGCACTTTTCTTAGTCTAGTCTTGCTCATTACAATTCATAAGTCTTACAAATATGTGTTTTTTTCCATATAACATTACATTCTTTCAAATTTGTTGGGGCCCGCTGGCCCTCCTGTAGCTTGGATACCCCGGGGTTGCAATGCTCGTATCGCAGTATAGGTACAACTTGTACTTATACAGGGTGTCCCAAAAGTCGGGGAGGAGCCGGAAATGGGGTGTAGCTGAGACGATTCTGAACAACAATTTCCTTTGCAAAAATGTCGGATGGGGCTTCGTTAAGGAGATATTAACTGAAAACTCTGACCAATCAGAGCGCGCGTAGACCGTTCAAGCGGCCGCAGTAGCGAAGGCTACGCGCTAGGCGGCAGCGTCAATGTCCTTCGATGCACGTCGAGTCACTTGTTCGCGTACAAGCGCTGGCGCCTAGCGCATACCCTTCGCTACCGCGGCCGCTCGAACGGTCTACGCGCGCTCTGATTGGTCGGAGTTTTCGGTTAATATTTCCTTAACGAAGCCCCATCCGACATTTTTGCAAAGGAAATTGTTGTTCAGAATCGTCTCAGCTACCCCCCATTTCCGGCTTCTCCCCGACTTTTGGGACACCCTGTACTGTGCTCGTACTGTAGGCTACAGTTTGTAGCTACAATCAAACACTGCTGCAGCCCCCGAGGGCCATAAAAGTTGGTATGAACTGTATAAAGTTTGTAGCGCCGTGTGGGAAAAATTCACCCAACTAAAATTAGAGTCCATGCACGTGTATGCATATACATACATATATGCATACCACATACCATGAAACCAAAATTTTGTAGTAACCTTATCCAGTATCATGTGTGTTACCAACGATAAATAGTAAAATTACTATGAAAAGCTAGGAATTTGTATTATCACAACACCACAATTTATATACTACAGTAGGTTGTGCAACTTGTTGCGTAAGTCAGCTGTTATGATGACTATAAGAACGCAGTTATATTTTAGTCCAGTCATTCAAATTTCTTATAAGTGAGTATCTTGTTACTTTGATTAAAGTGAGCTATTACACTTTAAGTACATTTCATCTAATAAAAAATTATTATAATTAGGTTAATTATGTTTTCTTATTACTTTTCTTTTCTAAGTCATTGTTCTATAAAATGGTATATAAATTGGTTTCTTATTTACTTTGTGGTTTAAAAATACAGGACTTGTTTGTGAATATATGTTTAGATGCTTGCCAGATCTTGCATGCGTGGAATAACTTCTGAAGTAACGGTTTCAGCACTGAAAAATATTCAAAGGACTTCTACTGTGATGTCTAAATTTGATCTGCCAGATCGTTTGAAGGGAAATGATAAATCAGTATGGTAAGTAGAATCATGCAATATATATTTAAAATTCTAATATTCATAATTTGTAATATATGCTTTTATCTATAATTTTATTTTAGGGTTGAATACATTCAACTTGCTTTAAAATATAAACCACTGAATTTAGGTCAGGGATTCCCAGATTTTTACGCTCCCGACAATGTAAGAAAGGCTTTAGCTGATGCTACTACCAGTGACAATCCTCTTTTAAATCAGTATACCAGAGGATTTGTAAGTGTTTATTCGCGTAGTTTTAAGTACATAGATTTTTATTTATTTTTTTATGATATCAAAAATATACAGGGTAATCACATGTACTATATTTTCATCATACATTAATAATTTTATATTCAAAATGATTTTTCATACACAGAACATATAAGTGATCAATTGATCTATAACAAAACATCAAAGCATCAATAGTCTCAACTGTGAGATTCAATTTCTCTTTTTTTTATCATTTTTGTGTTTATGTTTTGAATTGAGTTATTGCTTGTATTAGTTTCTAGAATCATCCTGTATAATTATCTGTCCATTTTTAATTCAAAGTTGTATTTTTTCAGGGCCACCCACGCTTAGTAAATATTATCGCCAAATTGTATTCAAAGCTTTTAAATCGCACTTTAGATCCAAATAATGAAGTTATTGTTACTTGCGGTGCGTACGAAGCATTATATGCTACATTACAAGGTCATACCAATCCTGGCGACGAATGGATAATTATTGAACCCTTTTTTGATTGCTATGTACCGATGGTTAAAAGCGCTGGCGGAATTCCTAGATTTATTGCTTTAAAACCAGTAAGCTTTAAATTATACAATTACGTTTCATGAATATAAATATAATTCTCTTTACGATTTACTTCTTCATTTCTGTACTTTTCAGAAAAATACAAATGGATCTTTAAGTTCAGCAGATTGGGTGTTTGATAAACAAGAATTAGAAAGTCTCTTCAATGAAAAAACCAAAGGAATAATTGTTAATACTCCACATAATCCTGTAGGAAAAGTTTTTACTCTAGATGAATTACAGTTTATTGCTAACTTAGCTAAGAAATGGGATACTCTAGTTGTGTCGGATGAAGTGTATGAATGGATTGTTTACGAACCATACAAACACATTAGGATTGGTAAGAACTTTTAACGAAATGTTAGAATAAATACTACTCTGGAAAGTTCAACTATTAAACTTTCCAAAACATTGTTATTTTCTTTTTTACAAAAATATTATAACTTTTAGAGAATATTTTAATGAAATATTGAATGTGTTTTAGCAACATTACCTGGCATGTACGAACGTACAATTACCATTGGATCTGCTGGCAAAACATTCAGTGTCACTGGGTGGAAAATAGGATGGGCCTATGCTCCAGCAAATTTACTAGTCAATGTACAAGTTGTTCATCAAAATTCTGTGTATACATGTGCGACACCGATTCAAGTAAGCGTTGAGTAAATGAAACAGATTTTGTAATCAAGTATATTAATTATAGTTGGTATTAACCGAGGCCTCCGTATGTGTGCCGTGTCTCTTGATTTCGCCAGCATTGCAACTAGCATCTTCAGGGGTCAAATAACGCTGGTATTAGTAATATTATGTATATTACATATATATTGCGTAATATCTATGTGCCATTTGATCTCTAAAGAAATTAGCTACAACTTGTTGCTCTACTTCTTAAAGTCGGTTAATATCAACTCTGGAGAACCGAGCCATGAAAACCTCAAATATTTTATATTAGTTATTTTTAACATAATAGATCTCATGTTTTAGGAAGCGGTAGCTGTTGGATTCGAGCAAGAGTTAGACAGATTTGGCAAACCAGACTGCTACTTTACGAGTTTAGCTAAGGAACTGGAACCAAAACGGGATTTTATGGTAAAATTTCTAAATGACGCAGGAATGACTCCAACAATACCTGAAGGTGGATATTTTATAGTAGCCAATTGGACTGCTCTGAAAGATAAAGTCAAATTAGAGGAAGAAACGGATGAATATAAAGATTATCGGTTTACAAAATGGATGACGAAAAATGTCGGACTTCAAGGAATTCCACCATCCGCATTTTATAGCGATGAACACAAGCATTTAGGAGAGGATTTCGTACGATACTGCTTTATTAAGGTAAAAATTGAATCGATACTGGTATCGTAGATATTAAAATTATATTTTGTTGTTAATCAATGTTTGTTTATTGCAGAAAGACGAAAATTTGAAAAAAGCAGCGGAAATTTTAGCAAAATGGAAAGCTCAATAGTAATTACAATCTTTTCACATTGGAGGCTTTTAAAATGAAGAAACTGATTTTAACTAACGGGTATTATTTTGGCGACATATTGTGCCATGCATTCCTTAAGAGATTAATTATGATTAAACACTGTATATACTTTTCTCATTTCTGCTTTTTATACACAAAAATATTACAGTAATTGTTACACAATGGACGAAACTGTTGAGTCCAGGTATAGGATATTGTACGATATATTCTACGCCGAGAAGTCACCACGAAGCCATCTTTTTGCATCTTTAGTGTCAGCTCCAAAGGTTTTACCAAATCTGTATACAACGAATTGTAGAAATAAAACGCTTTACATTTTTTCAAATCATATGTGATGTTACATATGACAAAACTTATTTTCTTCGCCGTTAGTATTGAATAGAAATTTGAAATAAAATTAATATTTTGTCTGGATGTTTCTGCTTGAAGATAGCTAACTACTATAGTCAAAAAATTCGTACAATGAAGTAATAAAATTTTGTTCGTACAAACAGACAAAATCTTATTTTTAATCGTATGTAGTGTCGTGAATATAATAAGTTACCTGAATGTCTCTCCGGGCACGTGCCCAAGGTAATTTGGAATCATTCCAACGTGCTTGTGATAGATCATAGTGGGTTGGATGGCCAGCGGTGGGTCAGGCCTCGAAATTGTTACCGGTGCCCATTCCGTGCTCTGTCGTTTTCGATAGTTGGATGTGAAGTCACAAAGCGCGCTATTGGTGGCGGGAACGTTCGATGCCCCGAAATGCGCATACCCGTACGGTATATGACCCGCATATCCTTAACGAATAGCCCACAGATATCGTTATTCAACGTTTTACGAAAGTCAATTAATGTTTACATCTTATTCATAGAATACCAACTTCTGGTATTCTCTCGAATGAAAGAATATCGCATCCGTTGTTCACTATCCGTAAGACCCATCTGTAGTACGATCTAATATTGGAACTTCTGTACATATACACGTAAATAACTAATTAAAAAAAAAATTATATATATTAATTATTACACGCGTGTTTAATTCATTATTGCTATTGAATTATGAAGAACGTTAAGGGTTAGGCAAAACAGTTGAGTCTTGCGGGGCGTTAATTGCGAGAACAATAAAATTATTCAAAGACAAATTCAAAGTTATGAATTTTACGATGACTGAACAGCAGAGATGGGCAAATTTTTATTCGATTAATAAATAACGCATTCGGACTATTCGATCGAATAATTGAATCTTTATCTAATTATTGTTAAATATTCTATGATTATCGGACTAATTTTTATTATTCATAGTTTAATAGATTAAAAGGTGTTTATCTTCAATTGACTATTCGAAAGTTATATCTAGTGGAAAATTTTGCCTGTCTCTGCTGTAAATTACAGAAACTTACGGCTGACAAAGTATTTCTTCGGATTCGCATTGTCCATGAAATATGGAGATGGCGAGTGATCTCTAGGTGTTTCGTGCTGTTCGTCCAAAAATAAGTTTCTCATTACGCCTACGCGGTCGGGCCGAACGGTGAGCATAGGTAACTTGAATTCACTTTTAATGAGCTATATTAAATTTCAGAAAAACGTAATTATTATCGACGATTCTCTGGTCTTTTAATACCCACAAGTATTCGTACCCTATATGTCTATTGAAGACATTTGTCTAAAGTAGATAATTGGTTAATTATTGAATTAATTATTTAATTAGCCTATCATTTAATTTTAAATAGACACAAGGGGTATATGTATCACATATGGGGCTGACTATATGTAGGCAAATTCTGCATTGTATACGATATTCGAGAAAATGGTCAAATATTAGGTTGTCCAGAAAGTTCGTGCCAATTTCTAAGAAAAATTCAAAGGTATATAATATACAGGGTGTCCCAAAAGTCGGGGAGGAGCCGGAAATGGGGGGTAGCTGAGACGATTCTGAACAACAATTTCCTTTGCAAAAATGTCGGATGGGGCTTCGTTAAGGAGATATTAAGAGAAAACCCCGACCAATCAGAGCGCGCGTAGACCGTTCGAGCGGCCGCGGTAGCGAAGGCTACGCGCTAGGCGGCAGCGTCAATGTCCTTCGATGCACGTCGAGTCACTTGTTCGCGTACAAGCGCGGCCGCCAGCGCGTATCCTTCGCTACCGCGGCCGCTCCAACGGTCTACGCGCGCTCTGATTGGTCGGGGTTTTCTCTTAATATCTCCTTAACGAAGCCCCATCCGACATTTTTGCAAAGGAAATTGTGGTTCAGAATCGTCTCAGCTACCCCCCATTTCCGGCTACTCACCGACTTTTGGGACACCCTGTATATATACGTATATATACATGTATTTATTGAATTACATAGGTGCCATTTTGTTCCACAACCGTTCCACCTTTTAAGGGACGTATACATGGTATTTGTTTTCAACCATGTCGATATATTCACACCTGTACCACCTATCAAAAATCGACATGAACTTTCCGGACAACCCAATACATGTGTAAATAAAGTTCGTTCAGGTTCATTTAGATGTTTCTATTTTATATTGAATTACGAATTTTGGATAATTTTGGTTTGATATAGTCGATCACCAATGTGTTAATATAATATAAATGAAATGGGGATATCCGTGTTGGATATTTCTTACTAAACGATCTTCTAAATTTCGCGGTTCACCGTGTCCACTTTGTATAGCTATTGTTCTTTTAAGTACGTTAAGAGCAGCTTTATTTCTTATCTGTTGTCTCTCGAATTCGGCAAGTCCCTCAGTGGCTAGCACAGTGTACCTTTGCCCGTTGTTGGCATTCAGTCTTGGCGTGAAACCTAAAATGAGAAACTTTTGATAAAATTGTCTATATTTTTCCACAAATTTTATTTTCCTCTGTACCTTCGTATCCTGGCATGATAGGATGAACGAATATAGGATCGGTGTGTTTGTAACGGGTATTCACTACGTCTATATCATTTTTTGGTGGCCTTTGAACCTAACGTTTTCATAAATCAACAATGTGCAATCACTAGGAAATGAATTAATAAATACATAAATAAAATATATAAATGAACGAATATATAAATTTACATAAATATCCGTAGTCACAGCTAGTAACAACTTTATCAATGAGTATAGATCGGTACAAAAGTAAGCGTTATTGTTATTTTATTTATAAATAATTTATGATACTTCGTAATCGTCGGTGACCCGATTCGACAAAATTAGCGTTTCCGCATGATTCACTGTGGGATCAAGAAGCACTTTGTGCGTTATACTTCCGTACGTTTCACCGCATCTATAGCGATATTGTGGACAATATCCTGCGTACCTGAATTAAATAAATTTTTCTTATAAAAGATGAAGACGTGAGCGAAAGATAAAACTAGATAACAGCTTTTTGAAATCCCATTTTTGCATTTTTAGAATGTCTTCGGAGTAGGACAGATGGTACAGATTGGAATCAATTTTTATTCAAAATAATGTGATAAACTTATATTATATTTATATTTGATATTTATGTAATTATATTATATTTATACTACATTACTTTAAAAATAGCATATTTATATTTATTACGTGTTTATTACCCTGGGATAAGGTGGGGTTCAGCCGTGGCTAACGATTCCGCGCCCGCAGACATTATGGTATTTTTCCAAAAAGTATGCTCATTTAACTAAATAGTCTACCCAGACTAACTGGAATTTAATATTTTTTTTTTATATGGGACTATTGCCTTCTTTTAACCATTAATTTATTGACATCCTGTCGAAAAGTCTTCTGCTACATTTCTCCAGATGTAATGCGTGAAATTTGCTTTGGAATACTTCTTTTTTACTGTTCATTTCAGGTACGTCGAAACCAACTATGATTTAACGAAGAAAATTACATAATTTAGTACTTGGCAAAAATATTTTATCATTACAATTAAAAAGAATATAATAAATGTATTTGCGGCTGCTTTTTTATCATAATGTTTAATGGTACATAACTTTGATTTCGGCAGCTATCGTACAAAGATTTTTCCGTCGAATTTAATTCAGAAAGATGAGAATGTTTCTCCATTAGTTTGTATCGTGGTTTAGAAGTTATTTATTTAGTAAATTTCGACGATGACAATTTTATTCGATAATACTAGAGTAAATTACTCTATACAAATAAACGGAATAAAATTACCCTAACGTGGCTACACGTTAGAACTACACCTTAGGCAAGGACAACGTTGGCAATGATCCTTAGAGTCCCAATTTGAAAATATAAAAACACGAACACCAAATGTTCACAAAAAAAGTTTCGTCTTTGTAAATTTACTTTGTGACTGTATAGCGTATATGTGTATATGAAACCTGTTGCATCTTGTAGAGCATGTCTCTGGAGTGGTCCCATTACCAAAAAATTTTGGGATTTCTCATTTTTTACCCGTTAAAAGAAAAACAGCTACTGTTTAAAAAAAAAAAACGGGTAAAAAATGAGAAATCCCAAAATTTTTTGATAACGGGACCACTCCGGAGACATGCTCTACAAGATGCAACAGGTTTCATTCCGATTGGTCAAGCTGTCTCGGCGTAATCGAGTAACATACATAAAAAAAAAAAAAAAATAAAAAAAAATATACGTGTCGAATTGAGTAACCTCCTCCTTTTTCGATATCGATTAAAAAGTTGAGTGTGCCGACAAGTTAATTGGTTGTCACAGAGGGCCATCACGGTCAAGAGGAAGCGGAGTGAATTTATGCGAGGGTTAGGGAGGGAGGACACATTGCGTAGACAGAAACAAGAGAGGTGTGCGATAGTGCGATTAACGTTTCGCTTTCCAGTTTTCACGGGGCAACCGCGGCGAAAAGAACTCGCTTACCGGTGTCACTTTCAAGACTCGTTACTGTTTACATGTGTGAATTATATTTTTCTATCGCGAGCAAGCGTTACCGTTTCCATTCCGCGTTCTTACGACAATAATGTGCCGTTTTAAATCGAATGCATCGTTTCTATGTTTCACTGCACGCGTTTACAATCATATATACATTTGTATACGAACTGTCAACGATTGTGAGTCGATACAAACGTACAAAGAAGCGGAATTCAATGATATGAAATTCTTATGGCAACAAGTCTGAATGAAATACATCATTTCGAATGTGTCGATGCACGTGTTTACAATCACGTGCAACTTCTTAACTTCACGAGGGATATCGATACACACGTGTACGTTTGCTTTGATTAAAAATATTAAATTCCTGTTACTTACAATCATAATACGGTCATCGTAATTTATAAACATTCCGTTTGTTGCGAAACCTAATATTGCAGCTCGTCTATGTATTTTTGATTTCTTAAAAGAATGTAAATTGCGGATATAATGTACACGTAAAATGTATCATGCGTACTACTGTATATATGAACCTTATCTGAGGTTTTCAGATAATAATAAAAAAAAAAAAAAAGAATCATAATACTTTTTCGAATTAAAAAGTATACCATATTAATGTAAGACGATATGTGTGTACGTTAAAATCGGTTTAGTGATAAAAATTGCTACGGTTTGTGTGTATTTGATTAGGGCGAAAATAAAATCCATTGAAAATTTGTCCCTTGAGACGTTAAATAAATTGTTGCTAGCTGTGAAATGATACATACGCATAGAAACTTGGAATCTAGTAATTACAGAAAATACTATTTGGAATGAGATAGTACGCCTATTTGCAGAAGCTTGTATTTACGGAAGATTTGGAATTCAGTGATAAATGTTCGATTATCATGATTTGAAGTACAGTGTTCGTATTTGAAGGAATTACGTGGAGAAGTGTTCGACGTTCTTTCCACCGAGTGGCGATACACGTCACGAAAAGATATCGAGCAAGTGGAAGCAAGAAAAATAAACGCGAGATTTTCCTTGTGACTTGTGACGCATCGTGTTTTTATTAACCTACAATTTGGTTTGCCAAACATGTGGTACCGCAGGGAAATGAATTCCATATTCTACGTGGATGCTGGCGTCAAGTCATTAGACCCGACTAAACATGACGAGGTGAGTCGACGAACAACTCTCATTTTTTTCCTTTCGCAAAATTATTTTTACCTTTTTTACAGAATTGTGTTCAGTGCACAATGAAGTAGCTACGCATTTATATTTTGTACACTCAGCGTTGTACTGTTGTACCCTTGTACTTTTGTACTCCTTTCAGACAAAAGGATAACAAAAGCAATGAAAGTTTCATGTAGCCTAATCTATATATTAGGTTGTCCCAAAAGTTTCTTTCGTAATTTGCACTCAATTATTTTGTGCGGTAGTGTTTATATAAATAGACGATCTGATTTCTTAGATGTTGATGTTGTAACAGTAATGGAGCAAAATGAATCGTACACAATTCAATAATGTAACAGTAGACATAAAATATTTATGTATTACTTACTAATAAAACGAATGAAACTTTTGGGATAACGTAATACTATTTTCTTGCTATCCGAATGGAAACCTTCAAGGAACCACACACTTCTGAAAATGACGTGCTCGCCTTAGTTTATCTTGCGTGCATTTATGGTAGAGATATCTGTGCATTTATGGTAGAGATATCTGTGCATTTATGGAAACTTTACTGTATAGGCACTACGCAGCTACAGTACGGGTCTAGCGATCTGTGCATTTATGGTAGAGATATCTGTGCATTTATGGAAACTTTACTGTATAGGCACTACGCAGCTACAGTACGGGTCTAGCGATTAGGTACCCGATTTATAAGAGACCAGATCCCCACAGATATGACTGTTAAGAGATATTCCGCAAACAGTATTAAAACAATGCAGGAGTCACGTAAGACAAAGCATTGACGAGAAGAATGGAAATATTATTTAAGAAGAATTTTTAATGTAATAACTGTTGTATATGGTTACGCACTTTAACAGGTGTAAATAACGGAACAGAACTGATTTCTTCATCGCGAGTATAGCAAACTGCCGTGGCGTGCACGCCCCAATCATTCTCGTTCGTGTACTCATGCGCAGTGACATTGATCGATCGTAGATCCTTCCCGTAGTCCCGCGGCTTTCGACGCCTCGTTTTTGCGCGTACGTCTCACTTTCCAACGATAAGCAAATAACTTTGCTGATAAAATAAATAACGAAAATTGTAAACGATTTATTACATGGCGAGTTAGTTATTCGAGGATTATTTCTTTCGTTTTTTAAATGCAAAAATAACCAAATATATTATTTTAACTAGTTATTCCTTATTTTCATCTCAATTAAAATATGTTCGGACGCGGTGTACGTAAATCACGCGCTCTCCCCTCCGTTTTCGTCGTTGTTTCTTATTCTTCATCTTGTTTTTTCTTTCTGCCACAATCGTCTCCGATGTTTCCGTCTTTTCGTCTGTGCGTTGTTGTTGCAGCCTGAGACACATCCGTGCGTCGCGTCGCGTCGCGTCGGATGTATCCGCATGATCGGCGTGACTCGCATTGTATTCGCTGCGTTTCATTGTTCCGGTCGCACGAGCCGGGAATATCGACTGCCTAATGCCGATGACCACGAGCCGTGCTCGCGCATGTTAGAAAATTCACACTGGATGGAAGAAGGAGTCTCGTTACGCGCTGCGCAATCCCTGACTCATCCGCGCGTTTCATGCGAGCGATACGGGTGTACGCACGGTCGAACAAAGGGTACACGCGAACCCTTCGACGAGGAAGACGGTGCCAAGCATATTGTGCTGCTGTATTATCACGACGATTGAAATTCCGTCGTAGTCACCTTTCGATAATTGTCAACGGACACAAAGGACTGCGCGGATGATTTCTTCTTCTTCTGCTTTTCAATTCGGGCTCAAGGGTCTTCTGTTTCCCGTTAGGTTCAAGTGACTGATGGGGTCAAACATATTGGTAGCAGACATAAGTCCAGGATATATTGAGTCGTTTAGAATACTATGTGACGTTTTTTCTTTATCGATCTATTCACGTCTCGAGAGACATTTATTCGCTTTACAAATATGGAAATCTATACATGTTTAACGTAAATTAGCAGTACACAGAGATAAAGTTGCTACGCATGTGAGAGATTTTACATATACGTATATTGCATTTTTCCATGAAAGACGAACATATTAAGGAGAGGTTACCGTCGAGATGCATGAAACATGCGTGAAGTTCTGGAATGTTTTTTTTTTTAATATAAAATAAATACTTTCGGGTATGGATTTCAAAGTAATATATTCTTGTATAATTGGAAGTTGAACGTCAATTTTTGTTATGAATAAAGAGTCGAAAATGGCGGCTCCAGCTCAGATCAATTAAATAAATGCAAAGTTTAAAATTAAAATGGAATGGTTTCCTTTCCACGCGAACGTCGTAGAAATCGTAACTCATCTCTTTCGCGAATAGATTTCCCACGGAAATAACGTTGTTATCCCTTTCAACTGTAATGACTAATGGAAAGTATTTCACTGAAATACATTACCCGGTTATCAAGGACAATCGCGCGGTTTGCGGTTTTATCAAGTTCTTTCGAAAACCGCAGTTCCTCGTGACCGTATTCCTCAGGAAGTGGCGTAGACTCCCCTTGCGCTGCAGCCTCTCGTCATCTTCTAAAGTAGCCAGCGAAAAAATATTACGGTACTGCGAACCGTGAGTTATCTTAATTACGACATTTTCGTTACTGGAAGAAATCTCATCCAAGTTCTCATGCTCGAAGTTTATTATGAAAGTTCTCAGTGATTCTAATTGGTTTGAAGTTCTGAACATGAAAGTCTTTAAAAGTCTTTGAAAGTCTTTCAAGTCTTGACAATATGGAAAATACTTGGCACTTTCAATTGTTGCGAACGTCCTGAATATGGTAAAAGTTCTTCACGCACGAACAAAAAGCATATTTTCAATCATTTTTTTCTCAGAAACTATTGCATAAAATTGAATGATTGTTTTTGTCCCCTTAAAGGTATGATTAAGGAAAGTAAATAAAAATTTTTTTTTTGGTAAAAAATATTTCATCAAAAAATATTGTTTACAAAATAATATGCGTGTACAAAAAAAAAATTTGTTATTTACTTTCCTTAATCATACCTTTAAGGGGGAAATAATTCATTCGATTATATGCAATAGTTCCTGAGAAAAAAATGATTGAAAATATGGTTTTTTTTTGTACGTTCACAGTGAAATGCCCCCTTAATTGTCATCAAGTCCTGAAATTCTTAAATTTCTTGAAATCCTTGAGCGTTGAAAATCCTGACACTTTTGAACATCTTACATATTGCCTCATACAGTGAAGTCTCCATAAATGCACAAACTCGAGATTGAACTAGCGCGTTTATGGTAGACTTCGTAGATTCTCTGATGTTTGCCGACAAGCTTCGATCGTACAGAAGGAAAGTTTCGAAATTTTGTCTCAATAACAGGTAGCTAGTTTTGGTCGCGGCGTGATCTCTTAAAAGTACGTATTAAACATATACTCTTATACTCTTGATAAACTATTGCACTCTCGAATATCGTGAAAGTCGTAAAAATCCTAAAACGTCTGTGTCACTCTTGATCGTCGTGAAAGTTCCGAACAATTTAATACATTTCATCGTTCCTTCAACTATTCTATCATTAAAGCGTGTTCGTTCCTTTAATTTAAATGAATAGTTTTCTTCGAACGATAATCTTGTTATTCTACCCAGACTCGGAGAACAATAGAGAAACCAACATTTTGAAAACAAAACAATATCTGTACCGCTTGGAATACGGTAAAGCACCTTCGAAACGACTCCACGGTGTACACGAAGAAATTCCACATCGTTGCTGGAAATAATAAAGCTCGACGACCGTTCAATTCCTCATTTCACCGTACAACGTACGGCGCGCCTGAAAGCGCGAGTCATTATTATTCAAGGAGCATGTATATTTACGTCCAATAAAGTAGCGAGCAAAGAAACAGTTTGAGTCCACCAACTTAATACACACGGTTGATTTATTTTATCCTGGTGGCGATCTTCCATAGAGCTCCCGGAGACGCGGGGCTACTGGGTCAGGAAGTCATACTACATCATGTTGTACCAGGCCATATAAGCAGCGGCGCGGGCGTCTCAGAGACCCAGAACCCAGAACCCATAACGTTGGTTCCCGATGTGCTCTCGCATCCCGCCGATTCACCAGCTAACATACAAGTTGATGCTGCGACTGTGATTTACAACGCCGCGTCGTACACGTTCCTGCACAAAATTTTCATCTCTCTAGCTTCAAAACAAATTTCTGTCTAAATCACATTCTTTTAACTATTTCCTACAAAAATATGCATTCGCATAAACATCCGTAGTCCATATACCACATATTTTTATATTTGCTTAAACGGTGGCCTTTGCGATTAATTAATTCGATCAGGTTTAATTATACGCACCGATGCAAGTCGACTGGATTTTCGCGCAATGGAAACGATGTAAATGCACTCTGATAAGCGAAGACACAGATTCTTCTTGGAATGCGGTCAGGTTAGAACCGAATGTGAGAGAGCCGTGCCAGAGGAAGAGACGGGACGAGTAAGAAAGAGATCGTAATGGGAATGTTGGCATTTGCAACCAAGATATTGTCTCGTTGAGACCGAATTGAGCTGTTTCGGCTACCGAAAAATCGTTTCAAGATAAGAGAAAGTATATTCTTGTCGTGTCAACGATAAAAAGAGCTTTCCCTCGAGAAATCCAAAAATTAGTTAACCTTAAGTGAACATTGAATTTGTAACTCCTCGCTTAAATAATTCAGATAGGTATCTAAATTTAAACTATTATTTGAAGAATATTTAATTTATATAAGAAATAATCGTGGAGTGACAACGTGTTCGCACAGAATGGTAGACATGGAATAAAAACTAGCGATAAACTAGCCAACTGATAAAATAAAATTTTTGTTTATTTTATATTATTTTTGAACGGTAAAGCGTTAATTTTTCCGAGTCGATATATTCTTCCTGTGTATAATGACGTACCGAAACATGTACATTATACCAATATATTGCTTCCTTACGGGCCATTATCTTCAAGAAACACGTTGTGGAAATAATTTGTTGGCTCGCTGTATGTTTATGCAAGTTTTTCGAATAAAGAAACTTGTTCCTTCGCGGACTACGCACGAAGAACAAGAATGAGTTCTTAAAGGCAGATGTTTGTTTTTACCTACTACTATAACGCGCCACTGGTTTCACGTAAAATAACAAGTTCAAGGTAGCGACACAGCGAGAAGAACCCGTGTAAAAAAAAAAAAAATGTTTCTTCGAGGGAGGCAGCTGCACGCGACAGATATTTTTGTCAACAATAACGTTAGCCATAGACAGGTTGGCGCGCACGATTAACCCTCAAAGGGTGCAATCATCCGTTGATCGATGCGAAAAGAAATCGCTTGACCGTTTGGAAAATACGCGATTACGTAATTGTTCGCCGCTGTCAGCGTACATTTCGCAGTCGCTTCTTGTGTATTCGTAACCACGAAATTAATACAGTGGTGTACAAATGTATCGGTTACTTCCTCTTCGGATCTGTTAAAGATACGACAGTTTACTTAATTTCTTGGAAAATGTATACTTTGTGTCTAAAGTTTAAGTATATCGTATGTCATGAAGGCTAAATAGATATTGTAGGATAGATAGTATTAGGTTAAAAGTTTCTTTCGTTTTCGATTCTTCAATTAATTTCAACCAAGGCATTCAATTTCATTGTTTTGTACATGTTCTGTGTGTATTCATTTACACAAATCGTACTTACGGATATAATATATAATATTATATAATAATTGTTATAAATATTAGGTTGTCCGAAAAGTTTCTTTCGCTTTATCAACAAGTAATACATGCACAATATTTTATGTTTTATGTTATATTACGAAATTGTGTACGATTCATTTACAGCATCAATGTATAAAAAATTAGATTGTCTATTTATATAAACACTGCCACAGAAAATACTTGAACGCAACTCACGAAAGAAACTTTTAGGACAGCTCGA